ATGATACTATACATAGAGAATCCTAAAGGTGCTACCAGAAAACTACTAGAGCTAATCAATGAATTTGGTAAAGTAGCAGGATACAAAATTAATGCACGGAAATCTCTGGCATTCCTATACACTAATGATGAAAAATCTGAAAGAGAAATTAAGTAAAAACTCCCATTTACCATTGCAACAAAAAGAATAAAATCCCTAGGAAAAAACCGACCCAAGGAGACAAAAGACCTGTATGCAGAAAACTATAAGACACTGATGAAAGAAACTAAAGATTATACAAACAGACGGAGAGATATACCATGTTCTTGGATTGGAAGAATCAACATTGTGAAAATGACTATACTACCCAAAGCAATCTACACATTCAGTGCAATCCTTATCAAACTACCACTGGCATTTTTCACAGAACTAGAACAAAAAATTTCACAAGCTGTATGGAAACACCAAAGACCCTGTGTAGCCAAAGCAATCTTGAGAAAGAAAAACGGAGCTGGAGGAATCAGGCTCCCAGACTTCAGACTCTACTACAAAGCTACAGTAAATCAAGACAGTATGGTACTGGCACAAAAACAGAAATATGGATCAATGGAACAGGATAGAAAGCCCAGAGATAAACCCACGCACATATAGTCAACTTACCTTTGATAAAGGAAGCAAGAATATACAATGGAGAAAAGACAGCCTCTTCAATAAGTGGTGCTGAGCAAACTGGACAGCTACATGTAAAAGAATGAAATTAGAACACTCCCTACCACCATACATAAAAATAAACTCAAAATGGATTAAAGACCTAAATGTAAGGCCAGACACTGTAAAACTCTTAGAGGAAAACATAGGCAGGAACTCTATGACATAAATCATAGCAAGATCCTTTTTGACCCACCTCCTAGAGAAATGGAAATAAAAACAAAAATAAACAAATGGGACCTAATGAAACTTAAAAGTTTTTGCACAGCAAAGGAAACCATAAACAAGATGAAACGACAACCCTCAGAATGGGAGAAAATATTTGCAAAGGAAGCAACTGACAAAGGATTAATCTCCAAAGTATACAAGCAGCTCATGCAGCTCAATATCAAGAAAACAAACAACCCAATCCAAAAATGGGCAGAAGACCTAAATAGACATTTCTCCAAAGAAGATATACAGATTTCAATCAAACACATGAAAGGATGCTCAACATCACTAATCATTAGAGAAATGCAAATCAAAACTACAATGAGGTATCACCTCACACCAGTCAGAATGGCCATCATCAAAAAGTCTACAAACAATAAATGCTGGAGAGGGTGTGGAGAAAAGGGAACCCTCTTGCACTGTTGGTGGGAATGTAAATTGATACAGCCAGAATGGAGAACAGTATCGAGTTTCCTTAAAAAACTGCAAATAGAGCTACCGTACTACCCAGCAATCCCACTACTGGGCATATACCCTGAGAAAACCATAGTTCAAAAAGAGTCATGTACCACAATGTTCACTGCAGCTCTATTTACAATAGCCAGGACATGGAAGCAACCTAAGTGTCCACCGACAGATGAATGGATAAAGAAGATGTGGCATATATATACAAGGGAATATTACTCAGCCATAAAAAGAAATGAAATTGAGTTATTTGTAGTGAGGTGGATGGACCTAGAGTCTGTCTTACAGAGTAAGTCAGAAAGAGAAAAACAAATACTGTATGCTAACACATATATATAGCATCTAAAAAAAAATGGTTCTGAGGAAACTAAGGGCAGGACAGGAATCAAGACACATGTAGAGAGTGGACTTATGGACACGGGGAGGGGGAAGGGTAAGCTGGGGCGAAGTGAGAGAGTGGCATGGACATATATACACTACCAAATGTAAAATAGATGGGCAGCAGGAAGCAGCCACATAGCACAGGGAGATCAGCTCGGTGCTTTGTGACCACCTAGAGGGGTGGGATAGGGAGGGTGGGAGGGAGATGCAAGAGGGAGGAGATATGGGGATGTATGTATATGTACAGCTGATTCATTTGTTATAAAGCAGAAACTAACACACCATTGTAAAGCAATTATACGCCAATAAAGATGTTAAAAAAAAAGTGAAAATGAACCTATACACAGAAGAGAAAGAGAGAAAAGGAAGACCTAAGCCATAAGGTGGAATAGTTCAAATGTATTCAGAGGAAATACAAAGATAAATCATATCATTTCGGCTTTAAGTGGATGGATGGAAGATTCCTGGAAGGTTATAAGAAAATAGACTACTTCACAAATAACTGAGAAAATACTGTAAAAGAAGAAATCGTGGTTTCCATATAGTCAAAGAAGAGCAGCCAGAAAAGATGCAGATGACTGATTCTTGCCAGCTGGATTAAGACATTACACTTGCCAATGATTTTGGCAATTACTCTGAAATTGTAATTAGCTCACTCTCTCCGGCTGAATTTTCTGTACAAATTGAACAAATATTTGACCTTTAGCCAACTTTGTCATTGTACCCTGTTCTTCCAAAGTGCATGAGCATATGTGCTTGATATCATCTTGCAGCCCCCCACCCCGTGGGATGAGCTAATTCACCAAGTTTTCTAATCCAGCTGGGTGCAGATAAAGCGGCAGATCTTATTTAAGGGCTTGCCCAGGCCTTTGTAAAAACAAGACAAAGCAAAAAGAAAAACAAAAAACAAATTCCCCCTACAGGAAGGGGCGGGGTGTGTGTGGGGGGGTGGGAATTGATTAGCCGGAAGCAAAATATTCCCATGTGACACTTTTCCCCTATTTTTTTTAAACCAACTATTTCATGGAAAATTCTACCACATCTGCACCTGTCTTGCAACAAGTTCGACCACTGTATGACACTCATGCAATAAGCTTGCTTCTAGATAGAGCCCAGTTTACAACTCCAGGAGAGTTGGGTTGGCCTACCAGGAGATCCAAACCCTCAGGGTGACAAAGTCACATCCAAATTGAATCCCAGGTCACAGAGCTCGTCACTTCCTATTTCGTGTAACTAAGAGCTGAGAAGGAATGCTTCCGTTTTCTTTGCATCTCAGGGAGGAGGCGCGTTCGGAAGTGGGGCAGTGATCTGCGGAAGGAGAGCTGAAAGCGTCTAGTTACACCCAGTGATCCAACAGCTAAGTTAAGGAGAGACTACACAGGCGTCTTCAGTCCCCAAACTGGCATTTTCGAACAGTAATCCGAGACTCAAAATAGTCAATGCAGCCTTGAGTATCAGGGTTTAAAAGAATGAAAGATAAAAAGAAAATAACTTTGGAGAGGAAGCAGCCTGTGGTGGGAAGAACGAAACCACAAAACCATTTTAAGCGCAGCGCTTCCCTCCTTAATGTGGACCACAAATTGTTTTAGCCTGTGATCACACTCAGCCCCCGGGCTCCCAGGAGAAGGACTTTCCATGCCGGCCCAGCCCTGCGTGGCCAAGATCGTCTGGGAGGGGTGTTTAGGAAAAGAGCAGGAGTTCTGACTTTAGTTCTCTCTCCAGTATGAATGAAATGCAACTCTGCTTTATTCAGATACATAAGGGTTAAAAAAAAAAAAAAAAAAGTGCATTCGGATACAGCTGGAAGCTATTAACAACTCTGAGAACATCTCAGTAACCCAGTTAGAGGATGGGTGGGCTGGCAGAGATCCTGAATCCATGTTTGTAATCACAGACTCTGACCACTGGGCGGGGCTTGCTTTCTACCTCCCACCCAGTGCAGACATCCCCTCTTCAACTGTTCAGTCCCTGCTTGCATACTTCCAGCCCCTTCCTTCAAGGGCAACTTCATTTACTAGAAAGTTCTTTTTGGCAAAAAACGCCTCCGTAGAAAATCTCCCCCTTAGTTCTAGCTCAGTCCTCTGATGTCATAGCACACGACAGTCCTACTTGTGGAACAGCTATATTTGCCTCCAAATGCTCGCCTTCTTATGGCCAAACACCCCATCTCTGCCAGGCTGCCCTCCCATCTGGTGGTTTCCAGATCCCTCCAGAGCCTGCTTACTCTTTGAATAGTGATTAGGTTTCAGAGTCCCTTCTAGAGAATCTATTCCTAGCTCCCAGGCATCAATATAGGATCCTCTAGGAGACCTTTTCATTCAGGAGTTTTTGAGGGAAATTTTTTTCAGGGAAGATGCAGCCACACCCCCTTTTAGGTACTGCCACTAGAGCATCTACACTGTCTCATCCCTAAGCAAGCTTCGGGCTCCAGCAGCCTTGCCTAGTGAATACTGCTAGCCTGTCAATGGCGTCACCAAGCCAGAGAGGAGGGAGGACAGAATGAATGAGCTTCCCCTGGATGCCTAGCAGGGCAATCCCCAGCTTTCCACCGAGTGTGGAGGCAGATGAGCAAAGATCACTCCCATCTTGACCCTGGAGCTAGGACCCAGCCTCTGGGACCGAGACAAAAGATCACTTTCATTATCTATCTCCCCTGTCCAAAATCCTTCCATCGAGTCCCACCTCCCACACAGAACACAAGCACTCACGCCTCCTTCACCTGGCCCAGCCCTGCCCATCACCATGCTCCCCGCAGGCTCCAGCCCGGGGCCTCTGCTGCAGCAGCCCACCTTGTCCTGGCTGGTCCCGATGCAAGGCCCACGCTCTCTCGCTTGCCCTTTCCGATACCTTTCTTCCTCCTGCGAGGTTTTCTGAGAGTTTCCTCTTTTCCTGGGCTAGCTCCAGAGCATCTGAAACACCAGTATTCTCTAATCGTGGACTCAGGCTGACATTTCTGACCATTGGAGGCAGGTCATTTCCCAGCGTTCTCTTCTTCAATTAATTAATGGTTCGAATAAGCAGAGGAATGAGCTTCTTGTTCTTGTTCTCAGCAGGTTAAGTGCAGTGGATGGTGATTGCTCTTTTGGTCTGAGGAATGTCCTAATTACCTCTTTGCTTTCATTATATGGAGGGGATCCAGGGTCAGCCCAGGCTCTGGCTTTTAGAGATTAAGTAAATGAACAGTTATGACCTAACAGTCACCCCACATATAAGCTGATACCACAAGGTGTAATCTTGACCTCATTTTGCATTCCCAGCTGTGCCTCAGATCAACTGTGATGTGAGAGCCGGAAAGATAATCAATCCCGAGTTCATTGTGAAATGTCCAGCAGGATGCCAAGACCCCAGGTACCACGTTTATGGCACTGACGTCTATGCATCCTACTCCAGCGTGTGTGGCGCTGCGGTTCACAGGTGGGTAGCGCTGAGCTTCTTAAGCACGAGCAATCAGGGTGTGGGCAGGGAGCCCCCGGTGCAGGGTTGCCTGATTAGCAAGCAAGAGCAAACAAACTTAATGGAGCATCCTGTATTTTATCTGGCAGCCCTATCCCATGGGATGACCCAGAATCTGTGCATGGTCCTGGATCTCCTTTCAGATCTCTCTGGAAAGGAGGACTGACTTCTCTTTCCACCTTAATGGGTGGGGGTGGGAGGGAGAATCCTACTCTTTTGTGTTCATAATGAGGAAACCAAAGTTCTTGATGATGTAAAGCATTTTTATTTTTACCTGTATGTGCTGAGCAAGGAGATAATAGGGACATGACTAAGGAAGGCCCGGAAGTTTAAAGAAGAAATATCACAGCTCCAGTTGATGATCTGGAGACAAATAGGAACAGGAAAAGTGAGAAGGAGGGTGACAGGGGGTCCTGCCTGGTCAGCTGTTGATGGGGGATCCGAGAAGGAGGGCAGGAAGCATGACATGCTTTGGACCATGTCACTGCCTAAATGAGGAAAGGCAATAGTGACCTTCACAGAATCCTCACACCTCTTTTGCTTAGGCTTGGAGCCAAAACCCAGGGAAATGCATGTTTACTTAATATCTTTCATGATGGGTATGTGTGAAGCACTCCACCTGTGTTATCTAATTCGGCCCTTACCATTCCCCTGTGCGGTATCTACCACCGTTGTTGACCTCTTAAAGGTGAAGAGAGGTTGAATAGCCTTTCTAAAGCCACACGGTTAAAAAGTATCCGAGTGGGGATTGGAACCCAAGTCCAGCCCCCCACTTCTATTCACCAGCCAGCACTACTTTGAGATGTGGCTCAAAGTCAGTGGTTGGCTGCTGGGTACTGATGAAGTTGCTCAATTATTCAGGCTTCCGGCACCTTTTTCCTTTTCTTTCCTTGCATGCCAGTCACTTGATTGTTCAGTTGTATCTCCACCAGAGAGAGGGGAGACATAAAATTCATTCCTTTTCAAGGTGTCTAGTCAGTAGCCTCTCTGAAATTTGGGGAAAAAAAAAAAAAAAAAAAAAAAAAAAAATCTATGCCTAAAATAAGATGTAAGATTTACTAATAGACTTTAGACTTTGTCAGTCATACTCTTTTCCCCACCAGCCAAAGAGATGAACAGCTACCTGGCTTTTCAATGGGAGTGGGAATACAAAAGCTCTACTGAGGATATATAGAGGAACATTAAGGAAAAAAGCACCAAATGCTGTTCCTTAACTCCAAACTGTGGAATAAAAACATTTTGTTTTCACTCTGAAATCAATTTTGTGCACCAAGTCGGTAGGCGGATCTACACCTGAACATATGCATGCCTCCACACAATCACTTGTACACATATGCATGCCTCCCACATGTGCTAGAACACACGTGTGTGCTCACACACACCCTGACACACACATGTGCATGCCAATACATCTCCGCCAACACCATTAGCACACTCCAGTCTGTGTCCGTGTAGACACTGACATATGTTACAGAGGCCGAGCCCGTCTTAAGGCTGCCTGTATTTTTCCAACTGTGGTCCAAGATGGTTGGCACTTGCTTCGTCTGGCATTTGCTGGCTCTCTCTTGCCTTTCCTTGGTCTCCTGAGGTACAGAGCCACACAAGTTAATGTGAGCTCACCAAGATGTCATCATAATGACAGTAACCCCTTACACTGAGACCCTCTCCTTCTAGCATCATCTCAGCCCTGTGAGGCTGCTGTTAGCATCCCCACTTGTTAGAAGAGGAAGGGAGGCATAGGGAAGTTAATTAAGTTGCTAGTTAGTTGCACATCCAGGACTAGAACTTGTGTCCCCTGACTTCCAACCCTGAGCCCAGGTGACACATTTACATAAGAACCGAGAGGATGTGAAGACGTGATGGGGTTGTAACACTTTGGGGCGGTCTGAGTTGGGAGAGGTTTTTAGGATGAACGGACACACCTCTAGAGAGAAAATAAGAAGGGCACTGACAAGGACCAGGACTCAGCAATCCCAGCCTTTGGGTTGGAGCATAGGAACTGCCTGGCGAGAACACAGATGAGGGTCGAGGGACAAAGCAGAAGAGTTTGACTGTTTCAAGACGGAACATTTGCTGCTGGAGCAACGGAATGCCTCGTAGCTTCCTGGACCAGTGACTGATACTGTAGGAAACTGTTTGGAAAGAAGGAATCACTATCCATGAGGAGGATGTATAGAGGTCTTAAGGGAAAACAGATAGGGATTTTGGATAATACAAGTTCCGTCTTTTACAAACAGAAGGAGTCCGTTTTTAGGAGGCAGGATTTTTTCTGTTTTTTTTTTGTGTGTGTGCGGTACGCGGGCCTCTCACTGCTGTGGCCTCTCCTGCTGCGGAGCACAGGCCCCGGACACGCAGGCTCAGCGGCCATGGCTTAGGGCCCCAGCTGCTCTGCGGCATGTGGGATCTTCCCGGACCGGGGCACGAACCCGTGTCCCCTGCATCAGCAGGCGGACTCTCAACCACTGCGCCACCAGGGAAGCCCGGAAGGCAGGATTTAAGACAGAGAATAGAGTGGAAAATGTGTGAAGGACCTCCCATCACTGTCCTGCCAGAGTCCCCTGCAGTCAGAACTGGGAAACTGGAGAGAGCACACTTTGGTTTAGAAATTCAGATTTAGCTTAAAGGATTTAAATTTCATACAAAGTATGACAGTCAGATCCCTTATTATGAGTGATCCCCTTGATTCTTTCAAACCAAAGGGATAATGAACATATTTGAGGCATCGTATTTTGGCTCAGTCTTATCCTGAACTGATTTCTGTGTTTAAAGTGGGACCAAGGCCTGAAGAGAGGGGAGAGTTCTCTGAGATGGGACAACGAAGAGGCCGTCTCCATGCAGAGCATGGATGTCTGACCAGACGCCCATGGGAATGGCAGCCATTCTAAACCTAGCCTCGCTGTGGGCAGTCCCTTTTCTCCGAGCCACGAAGCTGACCCTCAGATTATCCCAGTGCCCTGGTGCCAGGGTCAGGGAGGAGGTGAACCTCAAAGCCATGTTCAGCATCATGCAGGGTGTCTGAGGAATGCAAAGGAGTGGAACTGGTTTTGTTCTTTGAGAGAATATATATGAAGTGCCTCCACCTCAATGAGGGTACACATGAGGTCGCATTTATATAAATTCTCCAAACTACCGTGGCTCTGAGCCCCCATCTGCTTCATAAGTACAACCACAGCCTTTCAGGCTCTCTCCCTCCTCTGGTACCTCCTGTGGTGAACAATCGTCCGGTGCATTCCTCCCCTGGGATTTCTGTCGCCTCCTGGAGTTGATAGACCACTGACTGCCCCAGGATCTGCCCTCCTCTAGGACAATGTCTGGGAACGTGCACGGCCTCCAGTGAAGTCCACTCACAAGATAAGGCATCACTCTCTTCTGCAATAGGAAAATCTCATGAGAAGACAAGAGTTCTGTTTCCGTGCCTTTCCCAAAGTCTGGGTTTTGGGTCTTATATAACTGTCACAAGGGATCTCAGCCTCCCTGTCCAGCCTGAGAACCCCCAGGCCCACCCCATTCCCTTTAAACAGCCTGAGCAAAGGGAAGCTCAGCCCGTCTTTCCACTCTGAGTGGCAGCTACAGCGCTTCTGACTTTTAAACAAGAATGAGTGCACGAACATTTCCTCAATACAATGGAATATAAATCCAGGGGCAGAATAATTTCTCCAGGGGGGGAATAAAAAGATAAGAGCTATTTCTGTTTCCCCCACTTGTCAGTTAGGGACCATGGGATAATCAGGGTAATTTTTTAAAAACTAATCTGAATTTTCAGCCTATGCCAGTGGTGTGGTGGTAAAGGTTCACCAACCAGCCCTCCTAAATGGAGGGCTGGGGGGGCTACTGATTTACCAACATCTGTGGTAGAAATACTCCCACCGTGGCTGATTTCAAACTTCCATTGTGAAATGAACCGGCACAATCCTGAAGCCTAATAACTGGCTTTCCCAAGCCAGCATGAGTGGTGTCTGCACACCGACAGGCCTTCTAATGCAGAAGCAAAAACACTGTCTTCCCATAAGAAAATTTCTAATCCAGTTGGGAGACAAAGTTAACTCAAGGAATTTTTAGGAAGTAGAACAAGACCAAATAAAATCAGAGTCTCCATGGAAAGACAAGATTCGAAGGCATTGTTAGGAAGGGGCATAGCAAAGTCATGGAGAAGGAGGTGTTGGAGAGAAGGCACAGGTTCTCCAGAGCAACGAACAGCATGAACAGAGCCACGGGAGTGGGAATGAAGTGGGCCATCAGGAGAGAAGAGGCCGGCCTGGCTGCAGCTGGGAGAAGTGAGGGGCCCCGACTGAGAGCTGCCTGAAGAAAGGCAGGCAGGGTTGCAAAGACATGATGGAGGGATGAGGACTTGGTGTTGGGAGATGCCCATGGCTTTTGAGGCAACTGTGACCAAGTGAGGCAAACCCAGGATTCCAGGTCATTTAGACCTGGGTTCAAATCCCTACCTTGCAGTTTAGAAGTTACAAAGTCTGGAGTGAGTCCCTCGACCTGTCTAAGCCTGTGTCTGTGAAGTGGGAATAACAGCATTCCCTCTGCTCCACAGCCAGTAGGTTTGCTAGGAGAACTCAGTGAGATCCATTAGTGGGGATGCTTCTAAAGCAATTAAGGGCTTTACATGTCAAGTATTATTATCACTTTCTTTCCAAGTTGTTGGGAAGTTGAGTGTTGAAAGTTGTTGACTCACCATGAGGGTGGGAGGGCAGGAAATGGCAACGCTCATTCCTGTAGGGAAGGAAGGGTGTTGATGGGAACAAATCTAAGGACATTTTTAGCTCCCCTGTGCTATAAATTACAGATACCCAAGGGAGCCATGTTAGGCTCTGGGGCAAGGAATTGACATACTGGAGCCCCTGCTTCAATGGAGGCAAAGAGGTAGATATGTCAGTTACTATCACATCAGGATCTAAAACCTTCAAAATCCAAGAAATTAAAGAAACAATTTCCAGCCTTTGGGGACTCTTTTAAATGAGTTTAATTTAGCTACACACCTTCCTTCCCTAGCCCAAAATAAAAGGAATAATTTGCTCTTAATAATGTACCACCTTTTGAAATAGTTGGAGTCGTTCTGTGATGTCACAAAACCAAATTGGAAATTGTCAGGGAACAGGTTTTACTTCAGGGAGAACTAGTAGGAATTAAGCAACCAAAGGAAAGAAATTTGAGGCATGGTCATGTCCTGTAATATGAAAGAGAAGGACATCGAACATGGGAAGACAGATGCCAGGCCACGTGATGGGAGCATCGTTCTTGGGGGTTAGGTTGCAGGTCAAGGTGAAGGTTTTCTTACTCTCCCTGCTTTCCAATCTCTAAATAAAGATGGTGGCTGAATATCTCTGATGAACATAGATGCAAAAATACTCCACAAAATACTAGCAAACCAAATCCAACAATACATTAAAAGGATCATCCACCATGATCAAGTGGGATTTATCCCAGGGATGCAAGAATTCTTCAATACCTGTAAATCAATCAGTGTGATACACCGCATTAACATACTGAAGAATAAAACCATATGATCATCTCAATAGATGCATAAAAAGCTTTTGACAAAATTCAGCACCCATTTATGATAAAAATTCTCCAGAAAGTGGGCAGAGAGGGAACTTACCTCAACATAATAAAGGCCATATATGGCAAACCCACAGCTAATATCATTCTCAATGGTGAAAAGCTGAAAGCATTCCTTCTAAGATCAGGAACAAGACAAGGATGTTCACTCTCACCAGTTTTATTCAACAGAGTTTTGGAAGTTTTAGCCACAGAAATCAGAGAAGAAAAAGAAATGAAAGGAATCCAAGTTGGAAAGGAAGAAGTAAAGCTGTCACTGTTTGCAGATGACATGATACTATACATAGAGAATCCTAAAGATGCTACCAGAAAACTACTAGAGCTCGTCAATGAATTTGGTAAAATTGCAGGATACAAAATTAATACACAGAAATCTCTTGCTTTCCTATACACTAATCAGGAAAGATCAGAAAAAGAAATTAAGGAAACAATCCCATTTACCATGGCATCAAAAAGAATACCTAGGAATAAACCTACCTAAGGAGGCAAAAGGCCTGTACTCTGAAAACTATAAGACACTGATGAAAGAAATCGAAAATGACACGAATAGATGGGAAGATATACCATGTTCTTGGATTGGAAGAATCAATATTGTCAAAATGACTAGACCACCAAGACAATCTACAGATTCAATGCAATCCCTATCAAATTACCAATGGCATTTTCCACAGAACTAGAACAAAAATTTTTTAAATTTGTATGGAAACACCAAAGACCCCAAATAGCCAAAGCAATCTCGAGAAAGAGAATGTTCATTGCAGCACTATTTACGATAGCCAAGACATGGAAGCAACCTAAATGTCCATCAACAGAGGGGTGGTTAAAGAAGATGTGGTACATGTATACAATGGAATATTACTCAGCCATAAAAAAAGAATGAAATAATGCCATTTGCAGCAACATGGATTGACCTAGAGATTATCATCCTAAGTGAACTAAGTCAGACAAAGACAAATATCATATGATATCACCCACATGTGGAATCTAATTTTTTTTTAATTATATAAATGAACTTATTTATAAAACAGAAACAGACTCACAGATTTTGAAAGCAAACTTATGGTTACCAAAGGGGAGAGGGATAAATCAAGACCTTGGGATTAACATACACACACTACTGTATATAAATTAGATAACCAACAAGCACCCACTGTATTGCACAGGGAAGTCTACTCAATATTCTGTAATAACCTATATA